GGACACACTGTGGGGGGAACAGGAGGTGACCTGAGGGAGAGAGACCTGGACACACTGTGGGAGGAACAGGAGGTGACCTGAGGGAGAGAGACCTGGACACACTGTGGGAGGTACAGGAGGTGACCTGAGGCAGAGAGACCTGGACACACTGTGGGAGGGTACAGGAGGTGACCTGAGGGAGAGAGACCTGGACACACTGTGGGAGGAACAGGAGGTGACCTGAGGGAGAGAGAGCTGGACACACTGTGGGAGGAACAGGAGGTGACCTGAGGGAGAGAGACCTGGACACACTGTGGGAGATACAGGAGGTGACCTGAGGGAGAGAGACCTGGACACACTGTGGGAGGAACAGGAGGTGACCTGAGGGAGAGAGACCTGGACACACTGTGGGAGGAACAGGAGGTGACCTGAGGGAGAGAGACCTGGACACACTGTGGGGGTACAGGAGGTGACCTGAGGGAGAGAGACCTGGACACACTGTGGGAGGTACAGGAGGTGACCTGAGGGAGAGAGACCTGGACACACTGTGGGGGGTACAGGAGGTGACCTGAGGTAGAGAGACCTGGACACACTGTGGGAGGTACAGGAGGTGACCTGAGGTAGAGAGACCTGGACACACTGTGGGGGGTACAGGAGGTGTCCTGAGGGAGAGAGACCTGGACACACTGTGGGAGGAACAGGAGGTGACCTGAGGCAGAGAGACCTGGACACACTGTGGGAGGTACAGGAGGTGACCTGAGGCAGAGAGACCTGGACACACTGTGGGAGGAACAGGAGGTGACCTGAGGGAGAGAGACCTGGACACACTGTGGGGGGTACAGGAGGTGACCTGAGGTAGAGAGACCTGGACACACTGTGGGAGGTACAGGAGGTGACCTGAGGTAGAGAGACCTGGACACACTGTGGGGGGTACAGGAGGTGTCCTGAGGGAGAGAGACCTGGACACACTGTGGGAGGTACAGGAGGTGACCTGAGGGAGAGAGACCTGGACACACTGTGGGAGATACAGGAGGTGACCTGAGGGAGAGAGACCTGGACACACTGTGGGAGATACAGGAGGTGACCTGAGGGAGAGAGACCTGGACACACTGTGGGAGGAACAGGAGGTGACCTGAGGGAGGGAGACCTGGACACACTGTGGGAAGAACAGGAGGTGACCTGAGGGAGAGAGACCTGGACACACTGTGGGGGGTACAGGAGGTGACCTGAGGGAGAGAGACCTGGACACACTGTGGGGGGTACAGGAGGTGACCTGAGGTAGAGACACCTGGACACACTGTGGGAGGTACAGGAGGTGACCTGAGGGAGAGAGACCTGGACACACTGTGGGAGGTACAGGAGGTGACCTGAGGGAGAGAGACCTGGACACACTGTGGGAGGTACAGGAGGTGACCTGAGGGAAAGAGACCTGGACACACTGTGGGGGGTACAGGAGGTGACCTGAGGGAGAGAGACCTGGACACACTGTGGGAGGTACAGGAGGTGACCTGAGGGAGAGAGACCTGGACACACTGTGGGAGGTACAGGAGGTGACCTGAGGGAGAGAGACCTGGACACACTGTGGGGGGTACAGGAGGTGACCTGAGGGAGAGAGACCTGGACACACTGTGGGAGGTACAGGAGGTGACCTGAGGGAGAGAGACCTGGACACACTGTGGGAGGTACAGGAGGTGACCTGAGGGAGAGAGACCTGGACACACTGTGGGAGGAACAGGAGGTGACCTGAGGGAGAGAGACCTGGACACACTGTGGGGGGTACAGGAGGTGACCTGAGGGAGAGAGACCTGGACACACTGTGGGAGGTACAGGAGGTGACCTGAGGTAGAGAGACCTGGACACACTGTGGGAGGTACAGGAGGTGACCTGAGGGAGAGAGACCTGGACACACTGTGGGAGGTACAGGAGGTGACCTGAGGGAGAGAGACCTGGACACACTGTGGGAGGAACAGGAGGTGACCTGAGGGAGAGAGACCTGGGCACACTGTGGGAAGTACAGGAGGTGACCTGAGGGAGAGAGACCTGGACACACTGTGGGAGGTACAGGAGGTGACCTGAGGGAGGGAGACCTGGACACACTGTGGGGGGTACAGGAGGTGACCTGAGGGAGAGAGACCTGGACACACTGTGGGAGATACAGGAGGTGACCTGAGGGAGAGAGACCTGGACACACTGTGGGAGGAACAGGAGGTGACCTGAGGGAGAGAGACCTGGACACACTGTGGGGGGTACAGGAGGTGACCTGAGGGAGAGAGACCTGGACACACTGTGGGAGGTACAGGAGGTGACCTGAGGGAGAGATACCTGGACACACTGTGGGGGGAACAGGGGGTGACCTGAGGGAGAGAGACCTGGGCACACTGTGGGAGGAACAGGAGGTGACCTGAGGGAGAGAGACCTGGGCACACTGTGGGAGATACAGGAGGTGACTGGAGGCAGAGAGGCCTGGACACACTGTGGGAGGTACAGGAGGTGACCTGAGGGAGAGAGACCTGGGCACACTGTGGGAGGAACAGGAGGTGACCTGAGGGAGAGAGACCTGGACACACTGTGGGAGATACAGGAGGTGACTGGAGGCAGAGAGGCCTGGACACACTGTGGGAGGTACAGGAGGTGACCTGAGGGAGAGAGACCTGGGCACACAGTGGGAGGTACAGGAGGTGACCTGAGATAGAGAGACCTGGACACACTGTGGGAGATACAGGAGGTGACTGGAGGCAGAGAGGCCTGGACACACTGTGGGAGGTACAGGAGGTGACCTGAGGGAGAGAGACCTGGGCACACAGTGGGAGGTACAGGAGGTGACCTGAGGTAGAGAGACCTGGACACACTGTGGGGGGTACAGGAGGTGACCTGAGGGAGAGAGACCTGGACACACTGTGGGGGGTACAGGAGGTGACCTGAGGGAGAGAGAGCTGGACACACTGTGGGAGGAACAGGAGGTGACCTGAGGGAGAGAGACCTGGACACACTGTGGGAGGTACAGGAGGTGACCTGAGGTAGAGAGACCTGGACACACTGTGGGAGGTACAGGAGGTGACCTGAGGGAGAGAGGCCTGGACACACTGTGGGAGGAACAGGAGGTGACCTGAGGTAGAGAGACCTGGACACACTGTGGGAGGAACAGGAGGTGACCTGAGGGAGGGAGACCTGGACACACTGTGGGAGGAACAGTAGGTGACCTGAGGGAGAGAGACCTGGACACACTGTGGGAGGAACAGGAGGTGACCTGAGGGAGAGAGACCTGGACACACTGTGGGAGGTACAGGAGGTGACCTGAGGGAGAGAGACCTGGACACACTGTGGGAGGAACAGGAGGTGACCTGAGGGAGAGAGACCTGGACACACTGTGGGGGGTACAGGAGGTGACCTGAGGGAGGGAGACCTGGGCACACCGTGGGAGGAACAGGAGGTGACCTGAGGGAGGGAGACCTGGACACACCGTGGGAGGTACAGGAGGTGACCTGAGGGAGAGAGACCTGGACACCCTGTGGGAGGTACAGGAGGTGACCTGAGGGAGAGAGACCTGGACACACTGTGGGAGGTACAGGAGGTGACTGGAGGCAGAGAGGCCTGGACACACTGTGGGAGGTACAGGAGGTGACCTGAGGGAGGGAAACCTGGACACACTGGGGGAGGTACAGGAGGTGACCTGAGGGAGAGAGACCTGGACACACTGTGGGAGGTACAGGAGGTGACCTGAGGGAGAGAGACCTGGACACACTGTGGGGGGTACAGGAGGTGACCTGAGGGAGAGAGACCTGGACACACTGTGGGAGGTACAGGAGGTGACCTGAGGTAGAGAGACCTGGACACACTGGGGGAGGTACAGGAGGTGACCTGAGGTAGAGAGACCTGGACACACTGTGGGAGGAATAGGAGGTAACTTAAGGCAGAGAGACCCTGGACATCCTCTGGGAGGGTGCAGAAGGTGACCTGAGGCAGAGTCCCTGAAATCTCTGTACAAAGGGGTGCAGACAGCACTCTTGACCCAGCTGTAGGATGAGCCCTGCATACAGTCTCTGCTCCTCACATCCACAGCCCGTGGTCAGCGGCCACATGAAGCCAAGTATCCTGCACTCTGCTTCCTCCCTTGCTCATGAGTGCACACCTGGCTAGGGGAGGCCAGCAGCGTGGCCCAGGGCTGGCTGGCTGACTGCTATTTGCGGCAGGTCGCCTACCACCAGTCTTCTGGTAAGTTCAGTTTGAATCTGGGGCTACCCCAGGGGCCGACTTTGGTCCACTACTAGAAGCTGTCATTATAGTGACTTTCACACTAATCTGAGGACATAACCATTTAACCCTAAGCTCGGAGACTCCCACACACACCTGCTGCCTCTTGCTCTTCTGATGCACCTGCAGGAAGAAAGGTCTGGATTGATTGGTAAACACCCTGGAAGCACAGGCCTGGACATCAATTGAGGGCAGCTCCAGACATGACTAGAGCAGAAAACGCTGATCTTCTGGATTCTTCTGCTTCTCAGTTTGCAAAGCTGCAAGCACACACAGAGACTGAAGAGATACACGGGGAGCGGGAAAGCCTGGTGGCTCCTTGAACACACCAGGGGCCCCGTGTTATTCCGGCGTTTCCAGAAGCGTAGCAATCCGTGGCTCTCACACTCCTGTACACATTGGTCCTCTCAGAGGGCAACTCAGGCTGGTCCCAGCAGAATCCTGACTAAATGGACAGATTTAATAGTTTTAAATCTGCTTCCTCTTTAGATATGTCTTTTCACTCTATAATTTAATTGCAAAAAAAATTTAGAGACATTCCATTTTCATTTTAATTGGTTCACAAAATTAGAGTTCTATTTTTCATTAATAACTGCTCAAATCCATGGGAAGGAAAAACAGCCCAAATGCGTATTTCTGACTTCCTGCCTAACTGTGTATGAACACAGCAAAGTCAATGCCTCCGCTTCAGGACTGTGTGTTTCATGATCTCTTTCAACTAACAATGATGTAGCCCAACAACTTTTAATCATAAAAAATGAGTTTAAACATAGTTTTAAGATTGCCATTTTATTCAGCCTGAAACGCTTGCCCAACTGAAAGAAGTATGTGCACCTCCTCAACCCAATTTCCAGGTCTCTCAGGCCAGCGCTGCAGAGCACAGTATCTGACCACATGGCTGAAGAACTAAGGTCCTGGGTAAACACGGACAGTGTGGAGGCACAGCCACCAGCCCCTCCCAGGAGCGCGGGTATCCACACGCTGGTCGTCTTTGTAAGCCCCAGCCATGTGCAGACGGACACTTCAAGGAGCAGCACCTCAGCCGGCTCCAGCTGTCCTTTGGAGGAACTGGATCGGGCTGTTCAGAAACTGGCCCCTCCAGCACATCAGGATCTCGGTGGCCAGAAACTTTTCCTCTGTCTGAGCCCGTGGGAGCAGGACCCGGCTGAGTGACGGAGCTGATGGGCAGCAGGAGTGGAGAAGACACAAACCAGCGCCCTGGCCGGGTCCCCTCTGCTCCAGTGCTCTGCAGGGGACTGCTCCTACTGGGGGGGCTTCTTTTCTGAGGAGAGACCTACAAAAAACAGCAGGCAGACGTTTCAGGTTAAACTCAGAATCACATTGTCCCCCCTCTGGCTTCGGGCCAGCATGCATTTCCAGGATGGCCAGAGAGAGAGCGAGAGGGACAGAGGTTCCATTCCTGAGCTCCCTGTGCACACTGGGATTCCAGGCAGGTGCCAGCTGCCTTCTTTGGCACTGGCACATGTTCACCGGGTTGTGACATTGGGTGGCCCAGCTCATGCCTAAGAAGGAATGTTCTGACGTCCTCCGGCGATGGCTTGGGCATTTCCCTAGGAAAGCGAGTCATTTCTATTGCTGCTAGAGTTGGGTCACGCCCCAGAGAAAGATCACTCTGGACAAAGGAAAGTATGTGTGTGGGTGAAGTGGCCCTGGGAAAGTGGGGCCCTGGCTCCCTGGGAAAGCCCCGGAGATGCAGGCAGTGCTGAAGAGGCACTGGGCTTCAGGAAGAGACACGGAGACCTGGTAAGGGTTAGGAAGACAGTCGCGACCCTGCAGAGGACCTGACAGATACCCAAGGCCAGTGGCCATGTGAAGACAAGGGCAGAGGTTGGAGCTCTGCTGCCACAACCATGGAACACCTGGGCCACCAGGAGCAGAAACAGAGTTGACTTTCGATGTGTCTCTACAGTGTTGTAAAATACCCACACACAGTAACTGAGCTCAGCTGGGAACTGTGACCAGAGGACCATGCTACATGGTACTCAGCACTCCTCCCCTCAGCCTGGCCAGGGACCCTCAGTGGACTCTGCCCCCTCAGGGGACCCTGCCCTGCCCTCTTCCAGCCACAGGGTCTGCACAGTGCTTGCGTCCTGTCTCTAGAAGGAGCTCTGGCATCCCTGCGGACCCCTGGGTGCCAGGGGAGCTCCTTGTAGCTGGTGAGGGGCACAGAGAGGAGGCTGGGCTGTGCAGCTAGGCTGTCCTCAAGTCCCGCTCAAGAGCCCACATGGTGGGAAGGAGGGACAGAGCAGCGGCCCCAGGCAGGAGGCCAAGCTCAGGTGTCCTGGGCCACCAGGTTCCGGCAGAGCTGAAACCAAGCATTCTAAATCATCTCTGGGCAACTCCGGGTACTTTCAAGGTAGGAGGAAGGACTGTGCTCTACAGTTTCTAAGCTTGATTCATGATCAGGGCTCTCCGTCTGTCCCTGCACGAGGCCCAGGAAGGCTAGAAGAGGTTCCAATGGTACTGCAGAAATCAGCATGGATACCCACTGTCCCTTTAAAAATACACAGAGCTTCCTCTATCCCATTCCATGTAAAGAAAACAGCCACTGTTGTAGGTGGTCATAAGAGAAGTAATAACGGAAGATACTAGGATAAAAATATAACGGGAAGCATTTACTAGAGATGAGAAGGTGAACTCGCCAGTGGTCAGATAGTGAAAGGAAACAGAAGCGGGTGTCCTATCAGCACAGCACACTCGTTAAGAAGGAGGGCTGCGGGCTGCATGGACAGCCAGAGGCCTGGGGTGTGAACTGCAGGTGCCCGCACGGGGCCGGCTCACCGTTGTCCTTGTGCTGCCCGTCTGGCGGAAGCAGGTCCACAGCACACCTTGGAGGGCCCGGCTGCGAGGAGCGACAGAACATCGTTACAGCAACGGGACTTCAGCAGCACCCAGGATGCTGTGCCTCGTCCAGCAGGCCCCACCCGCGTGGTTCCCCCCAGACCTGTTGCCCTCGTGCCGCATCCGACCCCTCCCTCCCCTGCCCACTGGTTCTGCCCCTCCTGATTCTGCTCTGCATTTGGCCAGAATTTCCATGACTCTGGGGTTTTCCTCTTTTGTTGGGGAACAGCTGAGTCTTGGATCTCTGCAGAAGTGAACACTTTGGTAAAACTCACCGTAGCCCATAAACAGAACAACGTGATTCACCATCAACAAATGCTCTTTTTAAAACCCGCACACTGGGAGCAATGAGAGGGCCAGGAATAAAAACACAAGTTTAAAGTTGTTAGTGGCTCAAGGCAGAGCTCCCAGGTGCTGTGGAGGGCAGAGCCGAAGAGCCCAGGAGGGTGGAGTGCGCAGGCCTCTCCCTCTGCACGGGTGCCTCCAGGAGTCATTCTCTACGTTCTCAGGGTTTAGACCAAAGATGCTGAGATGTTTCTCTTGGAATTCTCGCCTAGGTTCTCACCAGGTAGAGCGGCTAGATATCGACTATCAGGGGCGCATCAAACAATCAACTGAAGGAACAAAAAGCTGTGGACCTGGTGGAGCGTGGTCGTTCCCAGCCCTGGGAACGGAAGGCTGGGCTTCATCTGCCGGCCTGTGTTCCTGCTCCCAACACTCTCCTACCCCGGCACCCCGTGGCACAAGAGACCACAGGCTGGGCTCCAGTTGTTTAGTCATCTGCTAAAAATACTTAATGGGAACTTTTTCATGGTCCCCGGTGGGGGCCATTCACAGGCTGCCAGTCCACTGAAGGTGGCCTGAGACTTCAGCTAAGGGACCCCACCGCCAGGCCTGGCCTGCTTCACCTGCTCCCCCACCTGGAGAGGAAACGAGATCACCTCTGTCTTTGATCCCCTCGCTTACTCTGAGAGTCTCAAGAACAGGGTTAGGGTTAGTGACGTGTTCCCCGTTTTACATGCCAGGCAAGGTGCCCCAAGAAGGTAGACACGCTGCAACCCCAACACAGCAAGGCACGTGGCTCAGCGCAGCTCACAGTGAGCGGACAGGGGGTACTCCTTTAAAATCAACAGGGTTTCCTCATGCAGAGATCCGTTCGGTGGAACACTGCTTGACGGGGAAGGCATCACACAGAGGACCCTGTCCCCACAAGAGCTGGGCCTGCTGCTGCGTGCCTCTTCTGACCGACGGGGGAGCCTGGGAGCCTCAGCTTTCTTTCCATTAAGGAGGATGGGACAGAAGCCCCTCTCTGCTCCCAGGTCAACGTGCAGGACCCTTGGTTCTACAGTTAGTCCGTCTGTCACGAGAACATTTCCCCAACCCTTACAGGTTCCGTCTCCTTCTGATTCCCACAGTCGTGGTTTACTTCTACATCCCTGACAGGATGTGATCAGGAACGAGCGCTGACGACTAAGAACCCGGGTAATGAAGAGAACAGGACAGGCACAGGCAGTGGACAGAAGCAGCCGCGGCCTCCACGGGCAAAGGACCAAGTTCCCCTCAGGCTGCACCACGCCAGGCCACCGAGGGAGAGGTGCTCTGAGCCCTGACGTCTGCCCGCCCCCCAGGGGTCACAGTCTCACCCCTTGGAAGAGGAGCCTGTTGTCCCCTGGGAGAGGACAGGCAGGACCCTTTCAGGAAGGTGGGGAACATGCTTTTGGTAAGGGCTGTGCTGAGAAAATGCCAATAAAAAGTCTCAGACTTTGGCATAATTAGAAACAGAGTTGATCGAAGCCAAGGGGTGGGGAGAGTGTCTGGGCACACAGAGAGCAGAGCAGGTGGCAGCCTTCCTGGATGGAGGCTCTGTGAGGAGAACAGAGGCTGGCCTCCCTTCAGGGCAGTGGGCACCGCTCCAAGAACAAGGTGGGCCACTGCATTCTGGCTCACTCAGGTGGACCGTGCCAATCAACTCCACCCAGGTCCACTTCATCTTGCTGGGCACACACGGCCACGGGGGACAACTGAAGTGGGTCACCTCTTCCTGGATCTTTCAAGAAAATCCCCTCCACAGGAAAACGTCAAAAACCATTCTGCACATATGTGGTGACAGCCACCGTAGCTCAACACGAGTTGGAAGCTGTCCCTCTGTTTTCTTTCTTCAGTTTTTGCTCCATCGACTTTGCTATTCTATATACATAGAAGCCCCCTGTGGCATTGGGTAGGTGGTTGAAAGTGGCCCCTATAACAGGCTATGTTTGCTCAAGGAATTGTGGCTCAATTGGAAATCTTGTGATTACTTTTTCATATCTATGTGTCCTGAGGATTCAGAGCCCAAAGAATCACTACTGTGTCCATGCACCTCTGGAACTTGGCCAGTGGAGGCTGAGGTGCAGTAGAGCCTCCTTCTGCAGGAGACACGATGTGCCCCAATTCCAGAGACACACCTGGTCTCTACCAGAAGAGGACGCTGTCACGATTTGTTGAAGTAGGACCTCTTACTTACTGGATGTTCCCACTGGTCCTGCGTGGTGCGTGGGCCTGCTGGCACCCCTGGGTCCCGCAGGTGGAAAGCCAAGCCACAGGTGCAGGCCTGGAAATGTATCTGGGGAGACAAAGCCATTGGTCTACTGGGAGGGGTGGAATGGGGTGTTAACACGTGCTCTCTACAACAGGGATGGTCAGTCTTAAGGTGCAGCCCCATCTGTCATAATTAAGACCCAGAGCAGCGGGTAGGTCGACGCGGACTTGGGACTCACAGGACGAGGCTCCTTGCTAGCTAAGTCTTCCCTGAGGTGACACTACAATTACTCCTCCATCTCGGAGAAATTAGGAGCCCTGGGGAAGCGCACACAGGGGACGCTGCTTCTGGGTGGTCTTCACAGAGACCTCCGTGAAGACCAGCCCGCCCTGACCCGGGGGAAAAGGTCCCTCAACTGCAGGCAGCATCAGGAACTGAGAGGAAAAGAGTCAGTGTGGAAGGCTACTAGAGCGTGGACATAGAAGGACTCAGGCCCAGGACGACCTTCCCTGTCTAGAGAGAACAAAAGCCTTTGTGTTTCAGGTTTCCCACCACAAGAGGTGTGAGCAACTGCAGGAAAGGCCTCGAGCCCGCGTTTCCCAGGTGTGGTGGGTCTGGGGAGGAATCCTCGTTCTAACAGAAACACATGGAGGCTGGCACTACTGGTGACGGAGGCTGGCACTACTGGTGACAGAGGCTGGCACTCCTGGTGACAGAGGCTGGCACTGCTGGTGACGGAGGCTGGCACTACAGGTAATGTGCTCTGAGAAGCATCTTTTTCAGGAATGCTGGGCTGAAAGGCTGGTGGTCCCTGCGCACTGTCCGCCCATGAGCAAGCCCAGCTGTGCCCAGGAGTAACTGAGTGGAACTTAAAGTTGCCATTTCACTGCTCCCAGGGCAGGGCAGCAGCCACATACCTGTTTTAGTTGTTTTTCTAGTTTTTCTTTCTCCATCTGACAAACTTTGATCTACAGAGAAAACACAGGCAGTTGGTTATCAGGAGGAGCTTGGGCCGTAGGGGAACCTGGGACCTGCCAGTGCAGGGCACAGGGAGCGGCTGAGCCAGCAAAGAGCTGTGCTTGGGTTTCAGGCGTGCGTCTCCTCCGTCCTGAAATCCCCAGGGGAAAGCGAGGAAGCTGGGGAGTTTTAAAGTGTTTTCCAGTTTGTGGAGGCCCCCTGGTTCTCAGTCTCGGCTGACCTGTGCAGACCTAGATGTAGCAGCGTCTGGCTCACTGAATGAAACTGGCATTGTTCAGCCGGCATTCAGGGCCTGGCTCCTGCCCCACACAGCCTCTGCACCACGGTGGCTGGCTCCAGACCCCTCAGTGGCAGCCGGGGGGCACTCTGGTACGTGGCCAGTGCCTGAAGGATTTGATCTGAGGTCTCTGTTTAAAGTCCTACTCAGATCACATCCTACTCAGCCAAGGTTTCCCTTCATTGCACTGCGGCATTTAACCTGCTCCCGATCCTCTTAACATGGTCATCAAATCCTTCCCTGTGTCTTATCGAGTTCTATCATTGTTTAACCACAGTGAATGAGACTTTTTATTTCTTGTACCGGGGATGCAACCCAGGGGTGCTCTACCACTGAGCCACATCCCCAACCCTTTTTATTTTTTACTTGAGACAGGGTCTCACTAAATTGCTGAGACTGGCTGCAAACTTGGAATCCTCCTGCCTCAGCCTCACCACCACACCTGGCTGAATGAGACTTAAAAAAAAAAAAAAGATTGGGCTATCATTATTTTAAAAGAAAATTTTGATAGTTTTAACGTATCAGTTTCAAGATTGTTCCTTAGCTTATAAACACAATTATATCATACTACTTGGACAATATATTTATTTTGCTGATGCTGGTCAAAATTGCTTTTTATAGATGCACAGGCACCAGAACTGCGTGTGGACTATGTTCTAAAATGTTAAGTAGATGGACTATGTTCCTGGTTGAACTGAAAGTTCTAAAATGGAAAGTACATTGCCCATCTTAGGCACCAATTTATTGCCACTCTGAACTTTTTGGGGTTTGGTGCAGAGGAATCACTCTGAACTTAATAAAATAGAATAAATAAAATTGAAACATACCAGGAATAAAGCAATTTGTGCACTAACAAAGAAATCAAGGGGGCTTTGTTTGTAAGCAATAAAGATTGAAAGAGGAATTCTTCACCCAGTATAATCAGAACTTCTTCACCCATTGTTGTATAAATTATTTGTTGGGTTTCATGGATTACTTTCAGAAAATTAAAGAATTATACTTTTAATCCTACTAATTTCCTTTATAATTCCTTAATTTTATTCCTTTTAATTTTTTAGGAAATGGTTCTACCAAATAATTTTCCACATAAAATTAAGAATTTCAAGTTAATCCTTGAAAAAATATGAGAGAAGAAATCAGATGCCGTTCACTGTCCACGTTGCATTGGGCAGAAGAGGACCACTGAGGGCTTGGAGTCCTTCAGAGACTGGAAGTCGGCAGCTAGCAGGCCTGCCCCATTTCCCCTTTACTGAAACCACGGCAGGGTTTTGCAAATCAAAAGCATGTGGTTATTTCAAAATCGCGTTGGCTACACTCTCCCTCCTTAACATCAGTGCTCACCCTCGCGGCAATGTCCGAGTCTACTTTTTCTCCTGTTACACCTAATTTTAGTTCACTTACAGTCAATACAGTCTAGTCCATAAATGGCTTCCTGGAAAGGACTCTAGTCACATTCCCTCTGGGGCCCAGTGACCAGGGCCCTGGGTCTCAGCAGACATGTGCACGGCATGTTTTTAGAGGGCAGGGACATTCCAACACAGCCCTTCAAAGAAAGCGACAGGAATTTAGAAACCACTTCACTATATTTGAGTAGAAGGTAGTTCAACTCCCATTCTCCCAAGATAAATATTATGGGGAAAAGATCACAAGAACTGTATTTTATAAAAGACTTTGGAATCCAGTTTCTGGGGTCATTCCTCAACGTACTCAAGATAAAAGAGATTTCAGACATTTTCATCTGCTTGCAAGGTCCTTAAGAGTGACTTCATCCCAGGTGTGGCCTCTCAAGAACCCAACGTCAACCGACAGAATTCAAAAGGCTTGAATACTTTTTAAATGAGAAAATAAAAATGAAACGCGTGTGCTTGGCCCAGGCCTCGCTGGGTGTGTACCTGGGAACTCAGCCTGGTCAGCTGGGCCCGGGAAGCTTGATGAGCCCGCCGCAGCTCTTCTTTCTCCCGACTGAGCCTTTCCCGATCCGATCGCTCCTTTCTGAAGTCTTCTTCATATATTTGTACCTGAAAGACACGTGGGTGCTGTGACTGTCATTCTTCTGTGCTCTTTGGCCATTCAAGCCATCTCTTCCCAGGTGCCTGCTGGGCTTCTGCAGTCGGGCACGCCCACCCTCTGCTCCTGACCCCTCTTCAGGGTGGGGTGGGGAAAGGCACAGGGCCGCAATTCATCCTTCACTCCTAGAGTGGAAGTCCTCGGATTTTTCCTTCTTGGGTGTGCATCAAGAATTCAGAAGGGACAAAGTGTAAATTCCTTAAGACTCCTGTGCCCACACTTCTGCCGGGTGCTCTGCTGTGCTGGAAGCCTGGCTGGCTTTAAGTGTCACCACTGGAGCAAGCCAACGCCTGCACAGGGCTCAAGCCTGAAGTTCTCAAAGTCAGTTTGCTGACAAGGGCTGTTCAGTGAAGCCACTAAGGACTGACATGCCAACAGTGAACACAGAAGCAAAGGCGGACAAATGTGGAAAGTGTGACTGTTGAGAGGCAGCCTCAAGGTTCGTCCTTGTAAGCAGTTTTAGAGGTAGATGATAAAAAAGAAATATGTAAGATTTTATTGCAACACTTCATAAGAGATATTCCAAATATTCCAGAAAAGTAATCAAGCAAATGAATTAATCATTTTTTCAAAAAACTGGTGTGATGTTGTCTGGTAGCTTGGAGACAAACATGTGAGGCTATAAAAATAAATGAAAGGTAGAGAATGAAGCAAAAGAATTCTTCTAAGACTGAGGTTTAAATCACTTCTACATGGAAACCTCTGAGCTGGACACGGCACCTTCAGATTCCAACCAGAGGTGCAGCCATCTAAAGCAGTCAGATGAAAGCCAGCAGGCAGGAGGGGAGATCCAGCACTGCACGTAGATTCTGGTGGAGATGCATATGCAAATGCAGACACACACACACGTGCACACACATGCACATATAGGTGTGTACATATGCACATGCATGCACACATGTATACATGCAAATATACACAGCACACAATATATACATGAACATACAGCATGCACACACACATACATGTATGCATACACATGCAAATATATACACAAGACACACATGTATACATGCACTCACATATGCCATGCATGCACACAAACATGCACATAGATAACATATGTGTGTACATGCATGTACATATATACAGGCAAACACATATATGTGTACGTAAGTGCGCACACCACACACATGCACATATAACGTACACATGTGCTTACATGTACACGTGCACACATGCAAAATGCAGACACATACAATATGCATGTACACACATGCAAGCATATACACACAGGCACAAGCATGTATGCACAGAAAAACTACACACACATGTACACATACATATATGCACACATGCACACACATACATAGCATGCACACACACATGCACATGTGTACATACATGCACACACAAATATATACACATAGATTTCATTTTTAAATCCTTATTCATCAGCCCCATTGCAAGGAAACTACATCCAGCCAAGCGACATTTTTATTTATTTTTTAGTCAAGAGCTGAGGCTCAGTTCTAGGCAGACAGAGCAGTTACTGGGGTGTTTTGAATGGGATAAGCCCATGTAAAGAGAACTGAACATTCTAGCTAGCAGTGCCGTCACTTCAGTTCTAACTCAGATTCTCTGTGGATCTGAAACCTCGACTGCCCCGTGTGGCGCTTGGTGGGGTTGCAGTCATAGGTGCTGACTTAGAAGTGGGTTTGGTCAAAATGTATGTGCAGAACATCACACACTCTCCCTAGTGCCAACGAAGGGATGGGCGTCGCTCCACTGTTCAGCGCACATGAAAAGAACGCCTGTCAGGCCTGCATCCCACACTGGCTGACCCCGCTGCAGCCCACATGCCAGGTGCCCTCTGGCCTGCAGTGTGCTTAGTCGGTGAGCTCCAGGATGGTCCAGGGCCTGAACACAGGCAGTACCTGCCCCGGAACCCTGCCTGGGCTGCCACCTGGACAGGACTTCAACAAACTGAATGTCACCCTCGCTTTCTATGGATCAATTTTTAAGCCATAGGCATGATCCCAATTTAACAGGCAGATTATCCTATGAGATAATCTGGAAAGAGAAGACCCATCTTTCCACCAAGAGCTCTGGATTTTACATCCAGCTACTCCTTTCAGGTAATGACGGTAAGTGAATAACCCCACGGCTCAGCTTTCCCACGTGGGCACATTGAGACTCCTTGTAATTGGCACATACTCAGAGCAAACTGGTCAGTGAACATGTCCAGGGGCCTCTAAAAGATAGAACTGATTTCCAGCCTTCACCCCAGGCCTCGGTCTCCCGCTGCTAATAGGTTCTTGAGGGCACGAGCTGGGATTGCGGCGAGTCCCCTTACTCACTGCTACTTAGCCTCTCACAGGAGGAGAAACGTGACAGGCACAGCTGGCCCTTCAGCGAGGCGGACACTAGCCTGCTGGACTGAGCTCAGACACACGCAGCTTGGCCAGTGCTGCCTCCCCCATGCTCGGCCGCCAGCGCCCTCGAGGGCATCCTTGCTCTCGCCGTCCACGTGGCCGCAGTGAGGGAGAGGAGTGGCTGGGGGCACCAGGCCTGTGTAGGGTAGCAGAACTGACTCTTCTGTGACCACAACCAGAACCACGGATTCTTTGAAAACTGCCCGTGATGTTCAAGGGCAGGAGGCCAGGACCTGCAGGATCATAGCCTGGCGGCTCCCATTGTCTGAAAAGGTGAGATCTTGGGTGAGCAGTGTTTCCAGAATCAACCACGCCTGCAGGGAACTCCGTGGACCCAGGGCTCACAGAATCTCAATCGTCTCTTCACGGTGTGACCTTGGGTGACCCGTAACCCACAGAGACTTGGTTCCCACTTTATGAACCCCGCTGTGACCCAGCTGAACTCCATTCTGCCTGGAAACTTTGAAACCAGTACTTCTAATTAAAGCAAGTGTGAGAATGGGTGGCCGCTGTGAACAGCAGGAGTGCACTGGCCACAGGCCCTGCCTGGCCCCAGGACTGTCTGCTCCGACCTCTCACCTGCTGCTTGAGAACTTCCACTTCCGTTCTCGTGGCCGCGTGGCCGCACTCCACAGGGCACATCCCCCGCCGGTCCCCAGGAGACGAAGCACCCTCGATTTTCAAGACGTCCTGAAGAGCCTGTGGCGAGGCAAGCACACAGCTGCGTGAGCCTGGCAGCCTGGGAGTCCCCGAGGTGGCCGTCCCTCCACGCCCCCAGCAGCCCTCCTCCCCCTGCGGCTTCCCCTTCTGATTTCTGCCCACGGGTCCGTGGTCAGAGCCTGCCTGCTCCCAGGAAAGCCGCTGCTGGCTGTCCGCCCCTTGCTGCTTGGGGGGCCTCAGTGAAGGGCCCCTCGCCCTGGCCAACTACGAATAGAAGACTTGTCTGTAGCCTTTCTGCCAATTCTCGGCCTCAGTCACCGTGTACCCTGTCCCTGGTACTCGAAGCTCGGGAGCCAGAGGTGGCCCGACAGGCCCAGCCCCGAGCCCTGCCTAGAGATTCTGAACCGGGAGCCCAGAGCCCAGAATCTGCACTTCTCAAAAGCTGGTGTGGCTCATCCCAGGTGACGTTTGGGGGGACATTCTTCTGTGTAACCGTCTCATGTCCCCAACAAGAGAAGGAACCCCAAGGGAAGGCAGCCCCTCGCCCAGCCTGGCCACAGGCAGTTCACTGTCAGAACTGCTGAGGCGTCCTGGGGAGGGGGTGAGAACTGCTGAGGTGGCCACGCTGTGTCCCACCCACACCGCGCCCTAGCTCCGCAGCCCAGGGGTGCGCCTCTCTCAGGTCACAGGGAGGTGTCCCCTCCAAGCTTGAAGGCCCAAGGTTCACACGGAGATGAGTTCCCAGGACTGTGACAGAACAGGCCTCGCCTCGAGGCCCTCAGGACACACCACTGGTCACTGTCCTTCACACAAGGGTGCTCCCACCCACAGGGTCGCAAAACCAGCAAAGGAAGGGCAAGCCTGTGGCCTCGCGTCCCCTGTCCAACCCGAGTTCCCCAACAGATGTCTCAGTAGCTCAGATGCCATCCAGCCTGACGCGAACGTGGCTTTTCAGGAAGTTCTAAGAGAAACAAGAACTGCTCTTCTTCTCAGGGAAGAAACTGCGGAAACAACAAGTTCTCCAGTAATTTACGTTTTGTCAGATTTGTGTGTGTGTGCTGGGTATCAGACTATCCCAAGCTGCACCCGCAGCCCCGTCAGAGTCTGTATAAAACACGTAGTTCTGGGGGATTTCAGAATAAGTAGACCTTCTAAGTGACGTGGAAGGTAGCACACAAACTCCGGAGTGCGGGACGCCCCGTGACAGCGGCAGCCAACAGGACCGCTCACCATCTACCCGACTGGGTGCCTGGCAGACCTCGTTGTTTGAATTCCCAGGTTTTCCTACCTTTCATGCTACTTGGGATTTTAGAAATTTTCAAATGAGTCATAAATGAAAGGTGAGTCCAGGAGACATATATGCCATCTTGGGTTTCCGGCTTCCTCGAATAAACCCCACAACCTATTCTGGGACAGGAGCTTACTATCAGAACCGAGGTGCCGGGAAACCTGCCCACCCCAATGGCGAGATAAGGGATGGCTCAATGAGCCCGCGGGTGGCCCTGGATGACCAGCTTCAGCAGGGCTTCTCACTCCCTCTCGTTATCCCTGACCCCCCTGTAGGAACTTGGTAAGGACAAAGCCCTGGGGTATTCAAAGCGAGTCACCTGAATTGAGTACCCACAGTGACGGAACTTCTGACAGCCCTGTGAGTGGCTCAGGTGACCTGTCAGCAGCGTCTGCTGAGTGGGGGCAAGTCATGAAACAGGGAGACCCCGGCTCCACTGAGACGGTCCTCGGTCCCCGGTCCCCCCAATCAACATGTCCAGTGGCTTCTACTTCCCCTACTTCCCGCAGTAGGAAAAAGAGAAGACCCATTGTAAAATGGAATAACATAATGTCCTACATTTCATTTGCCCCGACACTTGTGCTAAGTGAGAAGAAATCTCCCCAAGACCATCACTTTGTACAAGTGGTGCTCCAGGCACAGACGTGCGCAAGGACATTTTTTCTGCCTTTAAGGACCCTTCACTTTTCCTCACTACCCATGAGTAAGGTATTGTACATCACACTGACGAATTATGCTTACTAAATGGTAAATCTCAGGTCCAAAACTGGCTATTGAAGACGTCATGTTCTAGTGAATTAAATTTGTTGATCCATCCATTCACGCATTCGCCACTCGGCACATACTTTATGAACTTTCTGGGGGCAAGTCCTGTCCTTGGCACTCGGGTTGTGGCAGAGACCAAAGGGTCCCGCCTGACTGCTGCCTTGGCGAGCCCCCTCCACAGACATGCACTCTGAGACAGTACTCACAACTGCACTGTGGGAGAGATGGGTGTACTATTGTGTGAAGCAAGTTTTCACCTGAAAGTTGACTTTTTCTTGTGATTTTAGGCGAAATGAGATGTACACGTGGGCCTCTAGGTGTGTGTGGCTCTGCCACTGTGCCTGCTGTGCCAACGGACGGATGTCCAGCCTGCAGGAATTCTACCCTCACTGAGCTCATGCTCCCGAGCGGCAGGCAGAGCAGACGCAGGGACACAGAGGCAGCGCGAGCTGTGCCAGGCAGCAGCAGGCTCCAGGACAAATCCCATGCCCACCAGGGAAACTCCTAGCACAGCCGAAAGGTCCCCGAGGAGGCGACATTTGTACAAAGACATGAGTCTTACTCAGATTAAATTTTCTTGTTGAGATCCTATGATTATAACCACCAAAACTATCAAACCACTAATTTTCTAATTTTTTAAAAAAGTTCTGCTAGCTATAAATACAGATTAAAAAATGAAGTGCAACACATAAACTTGAGCAAAAGAACAGGATTCTCAGTGGCTCCAAGATCTAAGGTGTTTATTTCCCTGTGCCCAGTTTTTTGTTTACCTTCAAATGAAAATTTCCCTGAAATTTATATATTTCTCTTCCCCCAGGAAATTAAGAATTGGTGCATGGAACACACACACACACACACACACACACACTCACACTCCTCCTCATCCTCTGAGCAATGCACAACTGCTCCTTTGAAGACTAAGATGGAGCTCGGGTACTGGATCCCTGGCATTTTCCAGGCAGCCCTGACTTCTGCCCTTCCTCTCTGAGAGGTGAGCTGGGCCTTAACCTTGCTATTGACCTTGGGCTTGGCATTCAGCTTACTTCTACGCGTGCACCACGCTGAACCCCACAGCATCTGTCTTAAAGACCTGCCCACTTCCTCAGGAAGCTCCTGTGGTTGCTGAAAGGTGAGTGTTCACAAGCATGCACCTGCTTCATATGGCTCTGCAGACTGAAGGAGGAAGGAGGAGGAGGGGGAGGAAAGAAAGATGTGTGTGTGTTCTCACTGCCTCTGCAGCTTCCATTCTCTTGCCATGCCCTCTGCAGAGACACAGAATCCCAAAGCCTCCTGACCAGGTGGGGCTGAGCCACAGCTGTGCTGGTAAAGGTGGTGTGCCCTGTACCCAACCGAGGCGGGGGCCATGTGGCAGCTGGCTTGGATACGACCAGTACTGGATACTGTCAGTATCAGTAGCAGGACTGTGCCCGCCCCCCAGGGAGCTCTGGCCTCTACCTTGGGGACCTGCCCGGTACCTTGTTAAGGCGTTGTATTTCACATTCATAGTGCTCTTTCTTCTTCATCGCGAGAGCATTTTTTTCCTTCAAAAGCTTATTCTCTTTCTTCAGTTCCTGTAATTCTTCGTTTAGGGTTTCCCTTTCCTTTGAAAAGAAAGAACAAGGACTTCAGGACACAATCAAAGTCAGCAGGGAGGATAGTGCAAGGCCCTGTACCTCAGCTGCCTGGCAGACAGAGGGCTTCCCTCTTGGAGAAGTACAGAGAGACCGTGATATTGCCTTTGAGCATCTCCTTCAGGCAGTACCCTTGGATTGAGGACAGCATTAGGACTGAAGATAATTTTTCTTTATCAAAACTCAGTGCTACTTCTTAGAAGTTTGGTGACCCCAGAAAAAGACATCAAAATCCCCAATCTTCACTTTTCTTGGTCAGATAAATGGGTCTGAAGAATCATCTAGTTCCCATTACTAGGTGATGGATAAGGGACTCAGTAAAAACATTCACAATTCTAAAAAAAAAAAAAGAAGAAGAAGAAAGAAAGAAATCATGCAACAAAACAAGATATCAAGTATCTCAAAGCCCAGTCCTGAACCAGGCTGCAGCAGAGAGCAGGAAGAGCAAGGGGATTCAGGCAAATAGAACCCTTTGCTCAGAGCACCTGCTGCCATTGTTGGTTTAAAAGGCAGCGATCATGGCATCCGATGGTGGTCACAAACCACGTTTTAGGCCATCACCTGGAAGCATATTGTTAGAAATAACTGAAGATTCACTTTGAAGGCATTAACGGGCTCTGGACTTAAACAATGTCACCTACTTCTTAACTTTACACAGTAAATAGTAAGCCTGGTGTGAAGGAAATTGGCTGAGAATAAATAAATATTGCACAATATAGGTATCTCAGGATGAGAAAATAGGAAATATATGTGCCAAAATGTGTGATTTTAGTCATTGGTGTTTCCCAATGCAATTCTTAAATTTAAGAAATATACTTTAGGAAATTCATTTTCTTTAAAAGTGAAAGTATTTCTACTTGATTTTATTTAAATAGAATGGGCCAATACACTTGGAAAATGAACCAATCAAGAGAAAATTATTTTAACTAGAAAATGGTCGAAACTCCAGAGGCAAAAGCTACTAAGATTCCTGGTCAGGTGTCATTGGCAAGGAAGCCACCCACAGCGGGGAGAGGAGCTGCCAGCCCACTGCCGGGGCATGTGGCAGAGGTCTCAGCCAGGTAGGCAAGGCCAGGAAACAGGCCAGGGCCCCTGGTGTGATGGTGACTTCCCTGCAATATCTGCAGTGCTGGTTTTTCTTAGTATACCTGAAAGGAGAAGCTTAGAATTTAAGATTCTCCTCTCATCCTCTTAGTACCCACTAAGTCCAGTAACTGTAAGAAAAAGCAGGAAGAAACAGAGTCTGCTTTAGGAGGAACCGCCCTCTGGCCTGAGGCATGGCACCCTCAGCAGGACCCAGGGAGCCCATTTCTGCAGGCCCAGCGTCGGCTCGGCCGTGAAGAGCCCTCTAGCCTCTGGCCTGGGCTCCGTCTGCTCGCTGGCTGTCTTCTTTTGTGCTTCTGGGAATGGAGCCTGCCGCAGCAGGCTGGGTGCCGGCCACACGGGGACAGCTTTCTCGTGGTCCGTGTGGCAAAACAACGGGTGAGAACGTTCAGTGAGATATGAGGGCGAAGCGCTGTGGAAACGCACGGTACTCTGCTTGGCGACAAGAGGAATGCCCACTTGCGACACCGAGAAGCGACTCGGCAAGTGCAGCAGGTGGCCTTGGCGCTCCTCTCCGCCATAACAAGCAAAGCCCGGGGACAAGGGCAAAGATGTCTACTACGGCCTTGGAGACGCGCAACCGCCCCGCGCCGCGGTGCTGGAGCCCTGGGCCACCCGACGCGGACCCCGCGGGCGCCCACCTCTTCCCGCCGCGGGCCCCGGGCGGCGCCACCCGCGCTCTGGCTCCGCCGCTCGCACTCCAGCTCGCCCAGGGCGCCCTCGGCCGCGCGCAGCCGGGTCCTCAGCTCCGCCACCTGCGGAAGGAACCGGCAGTTTCAGACCCCTCTCCAGCACCCAAGCCTCGGGCACCCGACTGTGCGCTCAGGGACGCGAGCGCCCCTCCTCAGCGCGTCCCTCGCGTGCAGCAGGATGTGTGCACTTTAGAAAGAGCTCGGCCAACCCCAAAGCAAGCACCGGCCTGGCCCCGCAGCCTCCAGCTCTTCCCTCCTTCCTCCAAAATTGGCCTCAGCAAGGTGTCCTACCGCTGCCGCATGCGGTGGGAGCATTACCTTGCACCTTATGAATTTGGGTATAAAAAGGGGGAAGAGAGTAGCAATGTGGTTGTGGTCTAGTTTCTTAATTCCGAATTCTTTAGGGGATTTACTTTCTCTTTCTGGAGATTGAGTGGCTTTCAAATTACAAATTGATTTAAAGGAGATTTTCTCCAAAAAGTTGCTTTCTCACCAAAGCCAAAGCTTCTCAACAGCACAGTGGCTTACAGGGAAGGGGAGGGCCCTTTGTCTCCTTATGGAAAGAATTAGAGGCTGGTCTTGCAGAGCACAGCATGAATTTTAGACGTCCCTAACAGACACCACAGCCTGCAGATGCACTGATGGCTGCGAGAGACCCCGCTGGGAAGCAGGACACATAAGCACACTCTGGGGACAGCACTAGAGGTGGTTTGTAGCCCATTTTTCAGCGCTGCCCAAGGCGCTCCACCGCAGTGCTCATTCCTCTTCAGTACCAAGAGGCCAGAGGTGCACCCAGCACCCTCTCCCCTCTGGCTTCCACTACTGCCTTGCACAGAAACCTTCACAGCCGCAATCCCTGAGCCTCCACATGGCTGATCCCGACCAGGTTAAGGAGATGCAGAGAGCCAGACAGGGTGCTTACCTTTCTTTCATACACCTCCTTCATGCTTCTAAACTGCTGGTCCCACTGCTGATTGACTTGTAGGAGCTGAAATTATTAAAACCTAGTGAGTCAACAAAGGATTTCTACCCCTTTGCAAATTTGGGCAACCCTAGAATCACTTTTTGAGGTTACAGAGAGTGGAAAGGCAAAAGTGAACAGAATAATTCCTTCCAGCGAGTTCTGTGTGGGCTGGAGGACCTGCTGCTCACTCTCACCTGTTCCTAACTGGTTCACACAGGGAGACCATTAAGTCTGGGTGTATCGCAACCAGCCCGCTAAACAGCACACCAGCCAGCTTTAACTGTCTCATATGAACTTTCATCTTCTTTGTTTAATTCAATCAGAATCTAATAAAAAAATGTGATGTTGGTGGTTTTCTATAAGATCTACTAATGTGTGAAGGGTCTTTTCACAAACCTTTTCAGATTTTTTTATGTATATACACTGATTATTACAGTGAATTATTTTTCTAGCTTTAAAAAAGTTTATATTGAAGTCTGTACCATTAAATGATAATCATTTGTTTGCAATAGTATTCTTTAAAAGAATAACACATGATTTGTGATACATAATCATTGAATGGATACTATCACATTTTCAAAAGCATAGATTTTTCAAGGAATAAGTTTTGCTGTAAGACAATTTTAGAAAACTCTTTAAAGGTTTTAAACCTCTGTGCTAATTAGAAGACAACACTGTGAGGGGTGTTTTAGTTTCCTTGTAGGGAAATTTGCAATCTGCAGCACTCATCAATATAAGAAGATAGTCACAAATGACAAACGGAAATAGCAAATCTGTCACCTAGGACAAAACAAAATACCGAACCCAGAATGGCAGTTCCTAGGTAACTCTTTTGGTGGAGATAAATATGCTATTTAGTTCAGTTCTATGTATATTGACTAAAGATGCCTGCTTTGTTAACTTTTTATGGATTAGCGTTACTGTGCTGTAGCTGCATTAATCTACTATAGGTCAGGAATTTTCTATGTAGTGTCAAAGAGGAGTAGATGGTACCATAGAAGAGACAGTGGATTAGGAGAGGAACCGCCAGGTCAGCCACAGAGGGAGCACTACATTTGTGACTCCGTTAACCTCCTCCTCTGTCAAGAAGGGTAAAGAGGTTCAATGCTCACTGAACTCAGGAAATAAAATTCAGATGATTAAAAATATCTATTCATCCCCACTAACATTTAAGGAATGAATTTTCTAATGTCAGCGCTCCCAGACCCCTAGCGTTGAGACGCCCAATTCACAAAGTCACACCTTCTCAATCAACTGCACTGAAATCCTTCACATTTGGAGTTTCAAGGTGTGCCTCTTGTGTGACACAGGTCACGAGTTCACATGGGGCACATGGAGGAAGCAGCTGAAGTAGGGGAAAATTAGGATTGTAAATGCCAAATGAGTTTATGACCCTGTCATTTTTTTCATTAGGCATTACGTAAATATTGATAAAACTGTTTTCTTTCAGTATAATGCAATGCAGTATCAGAGAGGTGAACACCGTCACTTAGCAAAGATAAAAGACATGATGCTTGTTCTCAGCACTGACCCATCCCGATGTCTTTAACTAATACAAGTTACCTCTTTTCTCTGTTTCTCTAAGCACCTTATCTTTTGTTCAAGAGGATCTGTCAAATTCTTTCTTCTTGAGGATTGAGCACTCTTGGGGGAAAAAAAAAGGATTGAGGTAAAACCATTTGCAAAGTAAATAGGAGAAATACTGTCCTTCACAAACACCCTGTGTTTAACCAACTCTTATATTGTGATTTATAAAAACACTGGATTCTGGAGCTGAGAGGCAGCTCAGTGGCAGAATGCATCAGCACCACAGACAAAAACAGAAACCCTCTCCCATGGTTCCTTCATAAGGACTTGTCGGGGCACAGCTTCACATTATGAAAAGATCCCGTCACAGGAATTGGTAAACAAAATATCCCAACAAATCATAAATGTATCTATATAATGGGTAAACCGGAAGTTAGAACTTCTTAAATTTGAATTTGAATCCCTTTCCAAAAAAATAAGAGTAGAATGACTTACAGAAATTGGGTCCGTTTCAGGATACGTTTTAGACGTTTACATAGTAAACATTTCTCGAGAGTCATTTTCAGTCCTGCCCATGAACATATCACCAGCAAATTCTAAAGAGTGTCTCTGTCAAAAGTCAGAGGGGGCATAGGACCACCAAGAATGAAGACCACAGTGGCCCCTGAAGCACAGCGGCTGAAGCCCAAACCCCAGGACTGTGGATTTTAGCACGTCAGAGTCGGGGGCATAGAGATTGTCCGGCACTGTGTAACACTAAGCAGCTCTTGGAATAAAAGTCTTTAGAGTACAAGTTTGGACTGACAATAAATTATTAGCTTAATGGCTTAATGGAAACATTAATCATATTTTGGTTTTTTTTGGGGGGGTTGGCTATGTTTGTCAAGAATGGGAATATTCATTTAAAGAAAGCACAGAAGTCCCTGCAGCTGCCTGTCATTGGGCTAAATTGTCACTTGCATAAAGGACTGGTTTCTGTGCTGTAACCAAAGAGTCCTTTAGGTCATAGAAGCCGGAGGGTGATGATGATCTGCGTTCAGCCCCTTACCATCAGGGACTGTGGACCACGGAACTGCTCCAGGCTCTGCATGAACAGTTAAGAATATTTTCAAAACATGTTGATCTTTGCCAGAAAGATCAGAGGAAACAGTTCTTTTGCCATCATCGTGGGATTTTGAGGGCTCTTTCATGAGAAACCATTTATAAAGCTGCATTTCCCTGTATTTCCTTACTTCTGACTTGTACTTTAAGGTTTGAGGGAGTACACCTGTGTAGCTGCTGCTCTTTGCTTTACCTCCTTCTTTCTATTTAGACCTGTGTTGTGACTAAGGCCACATTTTAACAGTGAGCTTCTGTGTAAACTTGCTGTTAACCACAAGAAACTGGTTTGGCTGATCACCAAGAGGGACGTGGAAATCCAGGTGACAAGCATGTTGGTTCCTGTGAGTGAGTGACCTTCTCCTTTGGGAGAAGACTTTTAAGAAACGAGATTAGAACTGACTGACCCACTAAGCATCTTGGATCTGGCATGTGCTGAGAGCCAGCCCTACTTGGTGTGTGCTGAGATGAGCACCCAGTGGTGCAGCAACAGGGACTCTGACCACAGGAGCAAGTCCAGGTCCCCCTGACACAGAGTGCCCCGGACACTGGGTTGATACTTCTGAAATGGTGTCTCTGTGCCTAACCAACATCCTCAGTCATCATGGTTCCTAGTAAGTCAATATCCTGCCATCCCCGCTCACACTCGGAAATGTCAATCTGGGGTCCTCGAAAAGCCCTCCTTTCACTTGTGAGGTGGAAAAAACTCTGTGACCATAAAACATCTGTAGGCTCTTGCCTTCTGGGAGTGCAGATGTGGGCTGATTTGTTTCCGTAAATAATTTTTTCTGGATAAAATCATAAAACACTCTGACCTGGATTCTTATTTTATGAATAAGATACAGATACTGGATTTTCAAAGGGGTCTATCTGGAGCTGGAGGAGCGCTGATTTCTGAGACTCAGCAGTGGTCTTTGTAAGTGGGGAAATGGGGAGGGGGGAGGAGAGGACCCTGGGCTTGTCAGCCACAGCTGTATCTCCAGGGCTTTCTCTGAAGATTAGTCTAAATTTTGCCATGGCTTATATGACTCAAGTGTATATTAAAATATGGCAAAATCAACCAAATACTAAAATTTTGGGGAAATTTCACTTGGATTTGCTTTGCTTTTCAGTTGCTAAAAAGGCATCAGATATTGCAATAAGTGCAAAGATTTCTAATGACTGAGTTCTAGTTCAGAAAAAAAGTCCCCCATATGCAATTCCCTATAATATTTTCTACAGAACACGATCTATATTCACAGTGTCTGGGCATTTCTTTCTCTACCATAATACCCAGGCCAACTTCTAGATATTAAAATTTCAGCACTACCCACTTAAATTTCTAAATGAAATATGTGGTGCAGTTTCTCATTATACCTTGGTTATCTTTTATTAAAAAACTAAGAAAGCACCTCCATTCATTCAGTGTCCATTCACCCACGAGGCCAAGCCATCCCCAGAAGCGTGTTCTTACCTCTGCTTGGTCCGCGGAACTGTCCACAGTGCTCATTCCAGCTGTGCCCTGGGCAGAATGTGCTACGGAAGCTGTTTTCCTGGGAGTCTTGGGAAGCAGCAAGAAGAGGGGGGGAGTCTCTTATGGTGTGTTCAGGGTAAGACCAAAACGCAGAATTGGCAAAGCCCACCCCACCACTAACTCATGGTAGAAAAATCACAATGATCGTTTTGCATTAAAAACAAAGGGAGGTGACTCTGCCTGTGAATGACTCGGAATAAGGCTGATAAGTGCACAGACCCGGACTTTAACTCTCCTCTTCCAGAGAGGGATTTCCCAGGATGTCTCAAGCGGCAGGCTGTGACTAAGCCCACAGAGCAGCCTTGCCTCCTCGGTATGTAAATCGTCCTTCTTCCTTTACTGGCAGTTTCTCCCACTGCAGGAGGAAGTTCCCACTGCAGAAAGCCTGGGCCCGGGAGCCCTTCCTCACTCGTCCAAGCGCCATGGACTCCGTGTGTCTCCCAGAGCAGTGGGCGACCACGCCATGTTTCCCTGCAGGCATGGTTTCTGGCAATGGGAGTGTAGCTGTGGAACCCAGGAGTCACACATGACGCTCCAAGTGCCACTGATTCTTACAGAACTAAAAGAAAATAATTCATTTCAAAGAAAAATGGGCCTTGTTGGCAGATCGAATCTACATTTGGCAGAAAGGTCGACCTTGGTTCTCAGACTGGCCGTCATTTCCACAGGTCAGGGGGGACTGTCACCAGGCACCTGAAATGGCATCTTTTTGCTCTGATGTTCTGCTTTAGTTAGGGGACTCCTGCCACTTTGTAGCGAGCTCGAGACGGGTACCGCAGGAAGACGTGGGGTGGGAGGTGCTACACAAGTGGACCAGGGCTCCGGGGCTTGCTGGTCGGTGGCACAAGAGGCCAGGTGTACAAACAAGGGAATAAGGGGCCCTGAAAGGCACCCAGGAGCCACCAGCCGGCTCCCCGCCTGACGGCTCCTCGGGCTGCCGTGAGGTCTTCAGGTTCACAGAGGACGAGGAACTCCCCAGGAGGCGAGGGGCTGCAGGCCTGGCCTCCCCCCAACTGTCCTGCACTCCCCTGTGCTCCTGCGGCCTCCACATCCTCCCTGGGCCCTGGCACGTGCGGCTCGGCCCCCAGCCCTTTGCCAGGCCGCCCTCCCACCTGGACTTCAGCTTGGGTTCCCCCACCCGAGGGAGTGCACGGCCAGCATTGCAATGTCTATTCCCTGTCCCCCCGGCCATCTGTCCCAGCACTGCGCAGGGCCACCTTCAGCACTCTGCTGAATGAGGGGCCTCGTGACCAGCTGTGCCTTGCTCCAGTTCAGGGGCTCACTGCTGGTCTTGGGTCTGTTTACAAGACGGGCAGGAGTGAGAGGCAGTGGGCTGGCCTGAAGCAGTGTCCACAGGGGCAGGTGGGACTCACTGTCCACTCAGAGCTCTGAAAGCCCACTGACCACCTACACACTGACCTCAGGGCAGGGGAAGAGGCCTCTGGAGGCCACTCTGTGCCAACAGAGGTTCTTTCTCCAGGAGGGGGAATGCTGTGGTAAAGCAAGTCTCCTCCAAAACACTCACAGACACGCACACACACAGACCCAACACACAGACACATGCAGACCCGACACACAGACATCCACACACACACATAGACCCAACACACAGACACAGATAAACACAGACATACACACACACACATAGACCCAACACACAGACACACAGACACATGCAGACCCGACACACAGACACACAGATACACACAGACATCCACACACACACATAGACCCCACACACAGACATACAGACACATGCAGACCCGATACACAGACACAGATAAACACAGACATACACACACACACATAGACCCAACACACAGACACACAGACACATGCAGACCCAACACACAGACACAGATAAACACAGACATACACACACACACATAGACCCAACACACAGACACACAGACACATGCAGACCCGACACACAGACACACAGATACACACAGACATCCACACACACACATAGGCCCCACACACAGACACACAGACACATGCAGACCCGACACACAGACACACAGATAAACAGACATCCACACACACACATAGACCCAACACACAGACATACAGACATATGCAGACCCGACACACAGACACAGATAAACACAGACATCCACACACACACATAGACCCAACACACAGACACACAGACACATGCAGACCCAACACACAGACACAGATAAACACAGACATGCACACACACACATAGACCCAACACACAGACACATAGACACATGCAGACCCGACACACAGACACACAGATAAACATAGACACACACATACACACATAGACCCAACACACAGACACACAGACACATGCAGACCCGACACACAGACACTGATAAACACAGACATCCACACACACACATAGACCCAACATACAGACACACAGACACATGCAGACCCGACACACAGACACAGATAAACACACACACACACAGACCCAATACACAGACACACAGACATATGCAGACCCAACACACAGACACACAGACACCTGAGGTACATAGATAAACAGACATAGACACACATACACATAGACCCAACATACAGACACACAGATAAATGCACATAGACACACACACACACACAGACCCAACACAGAGATACACAGATAAACACAGATATGAATACATAGGCACAAATTCATTGACGTAGATAAACAGACACACACATACACACACGCACATAGACCCAACACACACAGGAAAACACACAGAGGTAGATACATACACAGACACACATGGACCCACACAGACCCACACCCACAGACACACGGGAACACACAGACACACATGGACGCACAAGAGCACACAGGACGAAGGCACAGAGTCGTCTGCAAAGCTCTAGGTTCCCTCCCTCCTCTTCTCTATCGGTCACAGTAACCCAGGGGTTCACAGGGCGGTTTCTCACGGCACCGTCCTTTGCACCAGCGTCTCAGGGTCCCTCTATGGCCCTCCACTAGGCGGTGGCCTCTGTGAAGCACAAACCCGCACTTTTGCATCCTCGTCACCGTCTGCTGGGGCAGCAGCCAACGGCCCCTAGAGCCCTGCAGGTTCTCGCAACGCTCTGGAGAAGCTGCAGCTCAGCTGGGCACGGGGGCTCCCGCAGACCTGCCAGGAGCGACAGGCACCTGTGGCACCCGCCGGCTCACCCCGCCCACACGGGTGCCCTGCTCTCAGGAGTCTGCTCAGCCTCAGGAGGAGTCTCAGCTGAGAGAACTGTGTCCCCGCTTCCAAGGCTGTTCTGATGACCCCTCATCTCCTGTGTGACTAGAGGGACACAACCGACCAGCAGAAACATGAAGAAGGACACAAGAAGGAGCTACTGCACGGCTCTGCAGCTGTCACCCGAGTGCACTCTGCCACTGGTGACGCGAGGGCCTGGGGCTCAGCCTCCACCCAGCCCTCCTCCCCGGGCGGCCCTCCCTGACCACACAGGTCAGCACTAGGACCAGCAGCTTGACCTTACCTAGGAACCCTCCCTGAGTCACACGACAAAGGGAAGAGACTGGCCCAAACCGACACGTCAGTCACAGCGCTCGGCACGGAGCCCATCCCAAACCAAGCAGAGACCCCACTTCCAGTGATGTGTACAGGGGTGTGAGCACACACACACACACACACGTTCACATATACACGTACACACGTTAAATGTACACACATCTACACGTGCACGTGCACATACACACTCTTAAACAAACACAGAGTTTCATATATCCACGCAGATGTGTGCAGGTGTGCACACGTGTGTGTATACACAGGCAGATATGAACAGCTGGGATGCAAAGAGAAGCCAGAGAATAAGTGGTAAGGACACCAAAGCCCCTGGGAGCTGGAGGAGGCTTTCCCGGCACGAGAGCGGGCATCTGCTGGGCCTCGAGGGGTGGGCAGGGCTCTGATGGGGTCGTGGGAGGCGCCACTGCAGGCCACCTCACCAGGGCAGAGGGGGCAAGGCTGAGGCCCCAGGTGACAATGCGCCCATGTAACTGGAGCAGGTCCACGGGGCATCCGAGGAGGACGGGAAGGAAGTCACGACGGGTCTCCTTGGGGGGACACTGAGGACCCTTGGGCAAAGCAGTCTTGTGACGAGCGGCTTTTCAGGACCAGCAGGCCTGAGATGCGTGGTGCCTGTGACATGGGAAGGCCCGGCAAGAGCGAGCCAGTGAACAGACTAGCAAGGTTACCCTGGGCAAGGGACACGCCTGCCACCGCGTCCACCAGGCCCCGGTGGCCAGGGCGGCCCCAGAGCCCCTTTAGTTGCCGGCTGGTCCTCTCTGTGGGGACCTCAGAGCCCCGCCCCTCCAGCTGCAGGAAGCCTGTTTCCTGGTCTGCCCACACAACCTTCCTCCCCACGGGAAGGAACACGTCTCATTTCCCAGAACACAAAGCCTGGAGTTACCTTTCAGGCACCTTTTACCTCAAAGTCTGTGCCCAGTTTATCTGCACACTCTGTAGGCTCCATGCAGACCTGTCCACCACGGCCTCAGGAACCAGGGACTCCGGGCCTCCTGCCGCGCGGGGCAGGCGAAATGACAGGCCTTTTGTCACTGGTTCAGCATGAGGGCTGTCCTGTGGGCTTCCGGGTCTTATCCAGCAGGAGCTTTCTTAGGAGCATGTCCAGTGGTGACTGATGTCTGGTTGTGTCTGCTGGCCTCTCTGGAAGGCCAACAAGCCTTTTCTGCTAGCCAGACACTAAGGTACCCCAAGGGCTCTCCTGCCCCAGCCATGAGCAGTTCAGGGTGAGGCTTTCAAATGTCCTTTCCTGTCCCTCCTCTGCTGAGACCGGCCGGTGGCTGCCCATGTCACCCAGAGCCGAGGCAGACTCTTCCCAGTGGTCAAGGGGCCCCTGCGGCCGGCTGAGCCTCTCTGACCTCTCCTGCCTCCTTTTTGCTCACACGGCTTCTCCTCCGGCTGTGCTGCAGGCCCTTGAGCCCCTCTCCTGCCCAGGAGGCTTTCCCCCAGTGTCCACACAGCTCATCTGCTCCCCCACAGGGAGCCACAGTGTGGACCTTGCTGTCGTCCTGTTGGACACCACTCCCGGCCCAGTGCTGCAGCCACCTCCCCTGGTTGTCTCCCCAGTGCTGCATACGACAGAGCACATGTTCCCCACCTCTAGGGTGTGGACGCCACCCGACAGCTCTGTGCCCCTGCTGCCTTTGTGCTGCCTTTGTGCTGCCTCAGGTGACAGGGCTGGACCCTCCAGACCTCCCTCCCACAGGAACAGACCGTGGCGCAAGCAGGAGACTGCGGGAGACCTAAGGTCAGAGACTTCAGGCCTCTCTGCTTTCGATGAACAAATCACCTTTCTTTGCTCCTGGAAACTGGTCTTGGATTAGGGAGATGGGATGGATTATCAAGTTCTTATTTTGATGAAAAATGGTTGATTTAGGTTTAAAAGTAGGGAAAAAGAAAAGAGAAACCAGGTACATTTTTTCAACAATGTGGTTACAGAAAAGCGTGTGGTGCCTTCCCGTAGTTTGCGAGTTTCCCTGTACCCTCTGAGCACACCGGGGCCGGGGCACTCTGAACTACTGAAAGCACTTCCTCTAGGCCCGGGGAGATGGGGGCTGTCCAGACGGAGGTTCGCATCCACCCAACATCCTCCCCATTTGAGCCCAATCCAAACTTACTCAAAGCTGATATCTGCCTCCAAGTCAAAACCCAAAGAAGACAGGAAGGGAGAGAGAGAGAAAGGAGAAAAAGAAAGACAGGCAGAAAGAGTCCCAAGGCAGACCAGATTCTCGGACAACTCAACTCTGTTGGTTCTCCTTAAACCCGGGCACCTCACGCCCGCCCCAGGTTGCGCGGTGTCCCAGCGCTGACGGAAACGGCCTGTCAGGAGAAGTGCTTCAGGACGCTGTCCTTGCTGTCTCATGGAGGGCACCTGCAGGTTGGTGTGTCAGTTTGCCACGGCATCAGGATGTGTCTTGCTGGGTGTGGTGTCCACTCATCGTACACTTCGCGATCTTTTTTCCCCCTTTACTTCCCTGAGGGCAGCTAATCAAGGGCGGTGGCTGGCCGTGCATTTGGCCTCAGCACGGCTGCGAGTAGTGGACTTGAGGGTGCCCAGGAGAAGGTGGAGATGTGCGGAGCAGAGCACAGGTGCTTTGACACAGAGACCACGCTGCCTGTTCCCGAGACTCCGTCCGAAAGCATATCTAGAGCACTGATTTGTAAACTAGTCGCCCCAATTTGGGGGCATTTGTCACTCTCGATTGTTCTTTAATTATACAAACTGATGTGTCTTGGGATGGGTATGACTAAGAATAGGATGCATAAAATATAATATTTTGGCAATAAAATCGTATCTTTAAAATAGCATCAGGCCGGGTGTGGTGGTGCACCCCTGTGATCCAGCAGCTCAGGAAGATCCCGAGTTCAAAGCCAGCCTTGGCAAAAGCAAGGTGCTAATGGACCCCGTCTCTAAATAAAATACAAAATAGGGCTGCAGATGCGGCTCAGGGGCCGAGTGCCCCCGAGTTCAATCCCTGGTAAAAATAAAAAACAAATGGCATCAGGACAGAATTCCGTGAACATGCTCTAGCCCAGGGACCCTAACCCTTCACACCAAGCACGACTTGGAGTCTTCCTGCCCTCCGCCCAGGAGCCCCTGTTTTATGACAGCCATTGTCCTCTAACGAAGACTTCATCCACCTGTGTCCTCATGATTCCTCCACTGACGGGCATTCTGGATCTTAACTGTCGACGTCTGCGAAGGACACTGTGAAGTCACACCTACGACTGTGCAGGTAGTGGACTTGAGGAGCAGTAGCTCCTGCACTCAGGCTGTAGAGCCGACGGTCCCTCTGAACTCTATCAGAGACCCACGCATCCTCCAAATTCATGCCACACCCTCAGGAACGGATTAGAGCCTTCCATCAAGGAGAACCACCCACTTTTCTTTTGTCCCTCTTCCTCTTTGTCACCAGGCCTATTTTTCATACACTTGGCAATCTTGACACCGATGCACTGAGGCAGCTGCCTTTCCTCAGCCACCGAGACTCGGGCTGACCTCTGTGCACTGACCTCCTGCGGCTGCTTGCTACAGCACCCCAGGCACTTCGGTGCGGGTGGACTTTCTCCTCTTCATCAGTAATGCTGCTCATTTCCTGGAAGCCATGAGTCATCCGGCTTCCTTCTCGGTTCTGACCCCCTCTCCACTCCTTCTTGGCAACGCTGGTTAGTGAAAAGGGAACTCCATGTGGCTCAGGCCCCTTCATCAGGTCATTTCTCCATTCCGCTACCCCCTTCCCATCTCGTGGAGCCATGAAGAAACCGATTCCCAGCTCCCGGAAAAGGAGTCTGCCTCCCACTCCTACGCTGACTCCATTCAGTGGGAAAGCGGAGGAGCCCTCCACTGTCCCGAACCCGCCCTCGGCTGGCTCTCACTTGTTTCACCCAAACAGGAGTCTTCTTGCACCTGTTTCGGTTCTATCAGGACCTCAGCGAGAAAGTGAAGGTCTGCTCTGTCCTGAGCGCAGCACTCCCCTGCACAGAGGGTCGCTGTAGGTTCCAGCAGGCAGAGCAGGGTTCGCTCTGGAATCAAATACGTGGAGACACCTGGGGAGGAAGATCGAGGAAGGTGCTGGAGGGATGGAGGGAGGAGGTTGCAGACTCCCTTGGCTGCTCTGGGAGGACAGACCCAGGAAGACGGGCAGGCCACAGTGGCTGGATCGAGTGTGGTGTGTTAGGCCCTGGGTGGGGTCCACTCTGATGACAGCATCCTCTGCATCTGCTTGAGCTCTGGCCCAGCTCCCAGATGGCCCTGATGTGAGGGAAGCAGGAAGAGCAGGGCGATGCTTCCACTTGGTCCCATTTGAGTCGAGGTCCAGACTCTCCATCCTATCAGCCCATGAGGAAATATCTCAACCTCCTTGAACCTGAGCTTCCCATCTGCAGGGGGTCAGGGTTGAACAGCTGGACGTAGAGGAATGTTCTGCAGGATGCTGGCCCAGAGTGGGTACTGAACAGCAGCAGCTAAAGCCCCTGTGATGGGAGACCAAGAGGAGGTGACGCGTCCTTCGGCAGACACTGGAACTCCCAGGTGCACGCAGGGAATGAGTATCTATTCCAGGGCAGGGAGCACCCGTGTGTGGTGACCTGGGGGCTCAGGAGGACATATCTCACCCAGGCAGGGTTGGCACAGCCAGGGGCACCCACCAGTGCTCCGGAGCTTGGCACAAATCTCATCTACAGGCAGCAATGACCAGTGAGCATCCGAACCCCTGGCAGTCAGTGACTTCAGCATCAGAACAGGAAAGACCACACAGTGGCCCCAGCCAAGAGTGAGCAGTGGGTCTCTGAGTCCCTGTTCCTGCCACTTCCCCGGCAGACTCCGAGCACTCTAGGGGAATTCTAGGGGCGAATTGATGGCACGTCTAGCTTGACCGTGGCTCACGAAGTCAAGCTAGTGGTTCACTATTGTTGTCTTCCAAAAAAACCTGCCGTGGAACTCAGTGCCTTCAGGGAGCAGACAGATCCTCCTCCAGGCCCCGGGGCCAGTGGGGAAGACAGGTTCACCCAGCACACGTCGGGCCTCAGCCTGTGTCCCATGACGTGGACAGGGCCTGAGCCCTCCAAGGGAGCAGGCAGGCGACTCGAGGGAAGCCAGACGGGCGAGTGGGCAGGAGAGGCCAGAGGGGACAGGGTGTTTGGGGATCTGCATGGCCCGTGCCGGTGAGCAGGGTTTTGGAGCAGGTTGAGTCAGTAGGTGGTGGCACGTGCACACGAGGAGATGAGAGAGACGGAGGTGCCAGGCCACTGTGCCTCGGGTCGGGGTTACAGCCCTGTGATGGCGGGGAGAGCCCGGCACGGCCATCAGTTCAGCTATGGTAAGGGAGTGCCCGACACTGCCCGGGAGGTGATGTGGTCTCTCTGGGGCTCAGTGGACCGTCAAGCACAACGTTGACTGGCAGGTGATGGAGATGCTAAGGCACAGGCCCCGGTGTGGCTTGGCGACTGGCTGTAAGGGGTGTGTCCCACCTCAGCCCAGGGCCCCTGCCACCTGAGGCTCCCGTGGTCCACTCCCCTCCCCCGCCTCCCCAGGCCCCTTCCAGCTCCCTGAGTCTCCTCAGCCACGGCTCGGCGCTCACCCTCTGGGGGTCTTTCCTCGTACTTCATGAGGAGGACGGGAAACACCAGCTGGCGGCTGGGAACAGCCCGCCCTGCGCCTCCCGAGGCGCTCACTTCATCTATGAGGTGTGGAGACGCCTCTCCATGAAGCCCCAGAAGCAGACGTGACGTATGAGCGAGCCTGAGGCTGGCAAAGAGCGTGCAGAGAGGTGTCACCGGTAAGGAAGGTCCAGCTGGAGAGTCCTGAGGGCGGGAGGCTGTCGGGAGCACGTGGGACTTGGAGGGTGACAGCCACGGGGCCCGAGGGCCCGGGCACTGGGGATTAAAAGCAGGTGGGTGTGAGTGTGTGTAAGTGTGTGTGCGTGTGAGTGTGTGTGTGTGTGTGTGAGACAGAGAGAAGCATGCGCAGGCTGCCAGTGCAGAGATGCCCAGGAGTGGGGTGTCCCCTGGTGATGTCAGGGCAGACCCAAGGTTGGTGCCGTTCTGAGACTTCCTTTAAGAGACGAGGTAACAGGTGTGGACGCAAGCTAGCTGTAAGAGCAAACATTTGTTCAGGGAGACCAAGGTCCACCAGCACCACAGAAAAGTCCCTCGGTGATCTGCACCTGCCACGTGCACACCTTACCTGAGAAAGGAGAGCTGAAGTTACTGGTAGGTAAAAACTCTTTATGCCAGGTGTGCTCTCGACTCCACCCTCATTACAGTCTCTGGTGACCACTAAGTAGGTGGTCATGGCAGACGACCCTAGAACCATCAGGGAGCAGAAGAGTTCAGGGGGCCCTTATCATGTGTTTCTAGATGGTGGTCCACAGAATTCTTAGCTCAAGCTGAGTCTTGAATTTTATTTGCTTAAACAAAGTACCACAGACGAACATCTGCAAAGAGGAAATTCAAACACCTTTGACTTTCAAGCAAAGAACAAGGAAACAAAAACAACAACAAAAGCACAAAGCAAGGCAGGAGCGGTGCGGGCTGCGGAGCCCAGCCCTGCCTCCAGGAACGCCTGCTCCTGGGGACCCCACCTCGGGTCCTGCTCCTGCCTGGAGGGGCCTCCGCCCAGGACTCTCAGCAGCAGGAAGCGACTGAAAGGGAAGCCCTGTGGTGCTCAGCACCTGGCCCTTCAGGAAGGGCTGCCTGCAGTGAACGTGGGGACTGTCCCCGCACACTCCTCCTTGAGCCAGCAGTCGGGCACGGAGATTTGTGGAGGAAGCTTTCTTACCTTTGGAGGACATGCATTCCTGTGACTCAGCGTGGCCTCTGGGGGGACCCCTTTTGGATCAAGAGAAGCATTTCTCTCTATCAGATCCCGGATTTTATTGTCCAGCTCCACGCTCTCGCACCTGCCCCGGGGACAAGGGAAAGTCACATGTGACAAGGTCATGAAGAACTATGTAGGGCTGTGAGTTCGCGCTGGAGGTGGCACCTGTGCCTGGTTCCTCTCCAGGGTTTTAGGGGAAGCAAACTTGGGCTTAGGAAATTCATGAACTTAGGTGCATTCAAGGGCCTGAGCCTGGAATCAGACGATCTGAAGCACAGCCTGTCTCCTTACCGTCTCTGAATACCTGCGACTAACCTGAGGACAAATTCCTAAGCAATTCCAGCTGCCAAATGGAAATGCTTAGCCTAGCCCAGGAGCACCTGGGAGCGACCTGGAGGAGGACTAGTCCCACTGCCTCATCCTGGTGAGAACAGAGGGAACCCTGTCGGGCAAGAGGCCCGTCCCTGAGACCCAGCCCAGACCTTGGACTCAGGTCCATTTGCCTTCCCCTTGTACCAGGTGGGTGTGGAGGAGAGGTTTCTCACTAAAAGCACAACTCCAGAGCAACGCGTCAGTCGTGTGGGTTTGCTTCCTCTGCTTCTGCTGCCTGGCTATTTCTCTGACCCACGGCAGAGAGCACCTGCTGGAGTAGTTCCCAATCTCTCTCAAAACACACTTCAGAGGGAAGCTGCTGGTGCAGCAGCGGCCGCTTGGTTAGGGGAGGCTCTGCGGCCAGGCTGTCAGTGCTACTGACCTCCCTTCCTTGAGCCACTGGGCATGCTAAACAGCTGGCCCCAGCCTGGCCAGCAAGGTCCTCTCCTGTGGACAGAAGGTGCCAGAATGAAGCAGGAGGGAAGGGGCAGAGCTAGGAGGTACAAGGTGTCTCCCCATGTCCAGTTCATGACCCCCCCAGGGGTGCTGCTCCCTGCCTGGGGCTCTGTGGACCTCCTCAGATCTCTGTAATGGATTCTCTTTCCCTCTTTTGTCATAGAGCTAGTTTTGCTTGGCTTTTTTGTAATTTAAAAAAAAACCCCACAACTCTAAATAAGAAGCTCAACCTCATATTCGTGCTCGTTGTTCCTGCAGGCTGTGAGATTCCTGTGCCCGTGTCCTGCATCAATCCCACCATCAATCTCTGGCTTCTGGTTCTGCCGTCAATCTTCTGTGGCCCAAACGTTGTGCCTGCACAGTATGGGGCTTGGGTGCACACTGGAGCTTTCCCAGGACCCTCTAAGGAGCACGGTGACATCCCTTTAGTAGGCTCCCCACATCCTCCAGATTCATGGATTCTCAAGTCCGCAGAACTGGGCTAGAGTGGATGTTAGGCCTTGAGGCAGCTCCTGGTGGCTTCTGACCTGGACTCACCTGCCGAGGGGTCACAATGCTCGTGGTCCCTCCCCCTCTGTGGGGAACGTGCTGCCCAGCAGTTTTAGACAGGGTCTGAAATGTGGCCGAGACAGCGGCCTGGCCCTTGCTCTCTCCGATTCCTCTCTTCCTGCTTCCAGCCAGGTGGCCCATCCTGGCTCAGGGAAGGCCCCAGCTGCCCCCAGCGCCTCAGCCTTTGCTGCTGCTTCCGTAGGACTGCTCCCACATCCTGCAGGCCCTGGCCCCGATGTCGCTCTCTCTGGAAAGGCTGCTGAGCACCTGGAGTGTCGTACCACCACGACTGCCCCACGGCTCCATTTGCTTTCTTCTTAGACGTTGCTATGATTCTCACTTCCTATTTACTGTCCTCTTCCCCAACCCCATATACGTCTTTACTCATTGCTCTGTCCCCTGGCACCCAGTAGGGCTGCCACAGCACCTGTCATTGAGAAGAGAGACCTCAGGTGAGGTTAACTCAAAACACCCAGATGTCGAGTCCAGTCTGACCATTAGTAATGTCAGTAGAAAGTTGGCAAATAGCCTGGAGCTCGGGAGTGACCAGCTGGAGTGCAGCCCAACAGGCCCCGAGCCCTGAGCACAGCTTCAGAATGGACACTGGGGCTCAGCGCATGCTGCCTGGTGGCGGCCTCGCCCTTGTCCCAACTACACGTGCTCCTCAGTATTCAGCAGAGCCACCGAGTGCGAGTGCTGCTTTTGCAAGAACAGCCTGCCCCGTGCTCCTCAGCTGTGGGATGCTCCTAACTGCTTTGTTGTGAGTGACAGTGAGCATGCAGGCCAGCAGTCACCCTGCCCGCTCCTTTGGGACAGGAGCAGGCAGGGTGACTGCTGGCCTGCATGCTCAGAGCTGGCCTCAGAGCTGGCCTGGCCCCTCTGTTTCCAGCATGGTTCAGCACATGGTTCATGATTCAGCCCCCGCCATAGCAGGGGGGCCCTCAAGGGAGAAGTTGGATCCTGGACTTGACACAGTGTAAGGCTCAGGGTGGTGACCACCATGTCCTTGACCTTGGCCACCACAGGGAGGAACAGTGACAGTGAGGAGGCAGAGCCCCACACGTGGTGGTAGTTGGGGTTTGGAGAGTGGTCTCATAGTGGACCCTGTGGCAGGGGCAGGGTCTGTGGGCTCAGGAACCCCTCTGGAAACCAAGTGGAAGGGTGGGAAGACGGGAGGGCATAGCCTGGGGCCACCCTGCCCAGACTTGCACTGCTCTCCTGCCTCGTGGCACTGCCATGGCCAGCGTCATTGTCACTGAGAAGCTGCGCCACTGCCCCTGAGACAGCACGGTGATGCCACAGGCAGCCAGTTCTCCCTGAGAGTCAGACATGGGACCTGGAGTAGCTCCCTTGGCTTCTGTGAGCCCTGCTGGCCTGGTCACCCGAGTGCCAGCCAGGAGTCAGGAAGGCTGCAGAGCCCCACAGCGCCAGCCAGGAGCCAGGCCTGGTGACGGCAACGGTGGCTCTTGGCTAAGGCTCTGCCTGGCACCCAACATTCTCCCAGAGACTCGGGGAGGCGGGGTCCACACGTCCAGCATATTGCAGGCTGTGTAGAGGGTTAAGTCAACCTGACGACGAAACGTAAAAAACCACATGGGACTACCAACTGCTCTTCTCTTGCTCACATCAGAAGTGACAACCTGTCTGGTGACCCCAAGGGGCAGCCAGGGAGGACCGGGAAGTGGCTGAGAGGTCTTCAGGTGCACGTGTAGCCCTTAACTCCGCGATTAGTTCAAAGGTCAACACTAGAGAAGTCTCCAGAGGTTGTCAAATGCTGCAGGCCTGTGAATGCCATTGTTTAGTGGGTCCTCCAAGGATTATCTGGTGACTTAAATTTCACCCAGATGTGGTAACTTGTGGAATCTCATCTGGCAGAAACGATGATCACATCCTGAAGAAAATAATCACGCCCCACAGACACAACAGGTTGCCACATCTTGGAGCAACTTGAAGACACCCAGCCTGAGCCGAGTCCAGAGGGGAGGGAGGGGGCTCCTCCCGGCCAAGGACAGAGGCGAAGCTGGCAGGGCTTCAGTGGCCAGAGCCCCTCCCCCCACGTCCTCCACCCCCACGGCCACGCTTCCTCCGCCCACTGCCTGAGCCACGTGTATGCTTTGATCCTAGGTCCTAAGCCATGTTTTGTTTTGTTTTTAAAGAGGCAGAACAAAGCATATTTTCGAATATGAAACAAGAAAAGTTGAGAGTAGGATCTTCTCTGATGGAAATATTTCCAGATGCTCAAAGACCCGGGATCACAACCAACTCCATGACCCAGAACTAAAAGGGTCGTCTAAAAGCCTAGGGGAAGTAGCAAGTTCCTGTCTTTAGTTTGTTGTTGCTATGATTTGTACTCTTAAGTATGTCTCCAGCTAGTTCAGAGAGAAACAAACTGCTCGATGAGGAGATCCTGTGTGTGTGTGTCTTAGAGGAGTGAGCTCTGGCGTTTCCTCACTTCAGTAACAGGAGACATTAACAGGGAGGTCTTGGAAGGGAGAAGAAGAAAGAGGGGTGGCTCAGAGAAGATTTAAACTGGCACTGTCCCCAGGCAAGGAATATGTCTTTAGTTTTATGTGGTTTAATGATTTAAACAAGTGTCTGGAACTTGTATTTGCACATCTGATGGGAAGCCCAGAGGCTGGACAGAGAGTCCGTGTAAGCATGGACCCTGCTCTGTCCACCTTCTTGGCCGGATTCCTGCCTATTTCCTCTGTGTCTGTGACATGCCAGGTCCCTGTACTGATGCCCCATGCACAAGCCGAAGCCCCAGGAGGACAATGGGCACAGAGGAACCCGGCTGGCACAGGGAGGCAGTGTGCTGCAGGTGGCTGCAGGTGGCTGCAGGTGGCTGCAGGTGGCTGCGGGGCTCTGCCAGCTCTCAGGTCCTTGTGAGGTTGGAAATACTATGCTGACTCAGTGCCGCCTCTAGAGGGTGCTCTGTGTTCAGTGCAGGTGGAAAGGGTCGGATCCTAATGTTTTCATTTTAATTCTGAGTTCAGAAGGGTAGAGGTGCAGGAGGCTGGAGGAAGGCAGGGAGAGAATAATCATAGATAATTTAATTATTTAAAAACTTTTAATAATAAATAGTTTTTGTTTTCTTCTTTAATAATATAGACTGCTTCACAAATTCGCATTTTCTCCGTGTGCAGAGACAATGCTAAGCTTCTCTGTGTTGTTCTAATTTTAATAAATGTGCTACCAAGGAGAGCACAATTATTTATTCTTTAATAAATTCTTAAAATTTCCGATCATTGTTGAGCATAGTTGGCACATGTCTGTAATCCCAGCGACTTGGAAGGCTGAGGTAGAAGGATCACAAGTTCAAGACAAGCCTCAGCAACTTAGCAAAGACCTATGCAACTTAGCGAGACCCTGTCTAAAAATAAAAAGAGCTGGGGATGTAGCTCAGTGGTGGTAAAGTGACCCTGGGTTCAATCCCTCGTACAAAAAAAAAAAGCAACAATTGTTGGACACTTTCATAATAGACCTACCACTAATAGCTTCCCTCCCCTAGCCACTGTAGAGCAGTTCTCAGCAAATACAGAGCAGCCTGCACAGAAGATGAACTGGTCATGACCAATTCAGCATGTTTTGTAACCCCTGTAGCAAGATTAACATGGTCAGGTAAAATTGGCTCCTGCTCTCTCAGTGGATGGGAGGAGTGAGTTCTGGTGGACTTGGAACACACAGTC